AGATGTCACACGTGTCAGACTTCACACGTCTCTCATTCACAAGTCAGTGCAAAAATCTCACACAACTCCTGGAGACGGGAGCGAGAAATGTCGGGGCCGGGGTGATGGAGCGCGTGCGTTTGGGGCGCCCCGTTTATTTCAATGGACCGCCCCGGAGGCGACAATCGCATTGAAAGATGTGCGGGAACCTCTTTTTATATATTTGCATCGCACTTCAACGCATCCTCATACGTGACCAGGAACTGCGGTGCGATTTAGCGCATGTGCGTTTGAGGCGGCCATTAGGATAGAAGAGCACCACAGTGCGCCTGCCAGGATACATTCTCATGTGCTGCGGGAATTGTGCGCACATTGCATGGGTGTGAATGGAGCCCAAAGTCGCTCTCGGGGGCCAGTTCACGCCGCGAGTCGCACTGGAACACGCTTGTGTTGCTGTGCGATTTCAGTGCAGTGCGTGTTCAGCCAATTCATTTGAATGAGTTGAAATCACATTGCATCGCACCAAAAGTACTGCATGCACTACTTTTAGAAACGCACTGCCCCTGGATTGCATGGTTCTTTGGTACTGCACTGCCTCTGGATCGCATGGTTCTTTGGTACTGCACTGCCTCTGGATCGCATGGTTCTTTGGTGCTGCACTGCCTCTGAATCGCATGGTTCTTTGGTGCTGCTGCACTGCCTCTGAATCGCATGGTTCTTTGGTGCTGCACTGCCTCTGGATCGCATGGTTCTTTGGTACAGCACTGCCACCGTATCTTGTGGTACTTTGGTACTGCACTGCCCCTGGATCACATGGTACTTTGGTACCGCACTGCAAAAAGATCGCATAGTACTTTGATACCACACTGCAGCTGGATGGTGTAGTACTTTGGTACCTCACTGCAACTGGATGGTGTAGTACTTTGGTACCGCACTGCAACCAGATCACATAGTACTTTGGTGCCTCACTGCAACTGGATGGTATGATACTTTGGTACTGCACTGCAGCAAGATGGTATGGTACTTTGGTACTGCACTGCAACCAGATCGCATAGTACTTTGGTAACGCAGTGCAACTTGATGGTATGATACTTTGTTACCACACTGAAACCAGATTGCATAATACTTTGGTACCACACTGCAACTGGATGGTATGATACTTTGGAACCACACTGCAAACAGATCACATAGCACTTTGGTACCACACTACAACTGGATGGTATGATACTTTGGTCCTGCACTGCAACCAGATCGCATAGTACTTTGGCACCGCATTGCAACTGGATGGTATGATACTTTGGTACCGCACTGCAACTGCATGTTATAGTACTTTGACACCGCACTGCAACCAGATTGCATAGCACTTTGGAACCGCACTGCAACTGCATGGTATGGTACTTTGGCACCACACTGCAACCAGATCACAGAGTACTTTGGAACTGCACTGCAAACAGATCACATAGTAATTTGGTACCGCACTGCAACTGGATGGTGTAGTACTTTGGTACTGCACTGTAACCAGATCGCATAGTACTTTGGTACCGCACTGCAAACAGATCGCATAGTACTTTGGTACCGCACTGCAAACAGATCGCATAGTACTTTGGTACCGCACTGCAAACAGATCGCATAGTACTTTGGTACCGCACTGCAAACAGATCGCATAGTACTTTGGTACCGCACTGCAAACAGATCGCATAGTACTTTGGTACCGCACTGCAAACAGATCACATAGTACTTTGGTACCGCACTGCAAACACTCGCATAGTACTTTGGTACCGCACTGCAAACAGATCGCATAGTACTTTGGTACCGCACTGCAAACAGATCGCATAGTACTTTGGTACCTGCACTGCAAACAGATCGCATAGTACTTTGGTACCGCACTGCAAACAGATCGCATAGTACTTTGGTACCGCACTGCAAACAGATCACATAGTACTTTGGTACCGCACTGCAAACATCGCATAGTACTTTGGTACCGCACTGCAAACAGATCGCATAGTACTTTGGTACCGCACTGCAAACAGATCGCATAGTACTTTGGTACCGCACTGCAACTGGAGGGTGTAGTACTTTGGTACTGCACTGCAAACAGATCACATAGTACTTTGGTACCGCACTGCAAACAGATCGCATAGTACTTTGGTACCGCACTGCAAACAGATCGCATAGTACTTTGGTACTGCACTGCAAACAGATCACATAGTACTTTGGTACCGCACTGCAAACAGATCGCATAGTACTTTGGTACCGCACTGCAAACAGATCGCATAGTACTTTGGTACCGCACTGCAAACAGATCGCATAGTACTTTGGTACCGCACTGCAAACAGATCGCATAGTACTTTGGTACCGCACTGCAACTGGAGGGTGTAGTACTTTGGTACTGCACTGCAAACAGATCACATAGTACTTTGGTACCGCACTGCAAACAGATCGCATAGTACTTTGGTACCCCGCACTGCAAACAGATCGCATAGTACTTTGGTACTGCACTGCAAACAGATCACATAGTACTTTGGTACCGCACTGCAACTGGAGGGTGTAGTACTTTGGTACTGCACTGCAAACAGATCACATAGTACTTTGGTACCGCACTGCAAACAGATCACATAGTACTTTGGTACCGCACTGCAAACAGATCGCATAGTACTTTGGTACCGCACTGCAAACAGATCGCATAGTACTTTGGTACCGCACTGCAAACAGATCACATAGTACTTTGGTACCGCACTGCAAACAGATCACATAGTACTTTTGGTACCGCACTGCAAACAGATCACATAGTACTTTGGTACCGCACTGCAAACAGATCACATAGTACTTTGGTACCGCACTGCAAACAGATCACATAGTACTTTGGTACCGCACTGCAAACAGATCGCATAGTACTTTGGTACCGCACTGCAAACAGATCGCATAGTACTTTGGTACCGCACTGCAAACAGATCGCATAGTACTTTGGTACCGCACTGCAAACAGATCGCATAGTACTTTGGTACCGCACTGCAACTGGAGGGTGTAGTACTTTGGTACTGCACTGCAAACAGATCACATAGTACTTTGGTACCGCACTGCAGAACATAGTATGGAGGGTGTAGTACTTTGGTACCGCACTGCAAACAGATCGCATAGTACTTTGGTACCGCACTGCAAAACACAGATCGCATAGTACTTTGGTACCGCACTGCAAACAGATCACATAGTACTTTGGTACTGCACTGCAAACAGATCACATAGTACTTTGGTACCGCACTGCAAACAGATCACATAGTACTTTGGTACCGCACTGCAAACAGATCACATAGTACTTTGGTACCGCACTGCAAACAGATCGCATAGTACTTTGGTACCGCACTGCAAACAGATCGCATAGTACTTTGGTACCGCACTGCAAACAGATCACATAGTACTTTGGTACCGCACTGCAAACAGGAAAACTGACAGATTTTGCAAAAGTGTTTCTTATGGATTCTAAAAGCGTCTCACCCTGAGCCAACCCCGGTACAGGTTCTAGACGGCCCGTCAATGTGGAACGTTCTTCACCACTTTTAGAAAGCATGAGAGACGCTGATCTTTATGAGCTCCGGGGGGGGGGGGGGGGGGGGGGGGGATTTGAACGCAGTGCAGGAAATGCGCACAGAACGCGGGATCCCGCACCACGTTCCAGTATCAACCGGCGCTCAGAGCGATTATTTCCTCTTATTTCAACAAATTATTTTTGTAGCAACTTACGGAAGTTTCCCTTTTTATCTCCAAAGTTTTTTTGATCTCCGGCGTCAGGCCGCATTCGCAGCGAGCGTCTTGCAAATGTGCGATTTGTTTTTTGCGTGTCGCAGGCAGGGCAGCCCATCCACTCATCCAGGTTGATCTGCACAGGATTTATATGGCAAAGCCGCTCCTGTAGCTTTTTCCCGCATCGGTTTTGCATGTTTCCTTGCCGTGTGTGTTGGCGCGCTGACAGCACGTGTTTCTGATTTTGCGCACATTGGTGAAAGGCTCAGATGTGGATGGAGCCTCACTGATACCTTCCTGGAAGGAGGCTCATCACTCAGCGCGGGGACCAGGAGAACCAACTTCCCTCTAGGCCACTTCAGCCAACATTCCGCTTTTCTTTTCACATATTTCAGCTTTGAAATGTTACAATCTGCAGAACAATGGAGCGCAGCGCAAAGAGGAGGAAAGACAGGATGTTTTGGTCACTGTAAGTAAGGCCATGGACATTACAGGGCAGCTGGACCAGCATCGTGGTGCATGTAGTAATGAATGTGAAAAGTCATGTTTTTCTGCAGGTCACGGCATTGCACCATAAATATCTATTGTCATTCACTGGTAAATCCTCCTTCCGGCATTTTCTTCAGTCTTGCACAGGTGTACCGGCTCCTCCCCTTCAGTCTTGCACAGGTGTACCGGCTCCTCCCCTGCAGTCTTTAACAGGCGTACTGGCTCCTCCCCCTTCAGTCTTGCACAGGTGTACCGGCTCCTCCCCTGCAGTCTTTAACAGGCGTACTGGCTCCTCCCCTTCAGTCTTGCACAGGTGTTCCGGCTCCTCCCCTTCAGTCTTGCACAGGTGTACCGGCTCCTCCCCTCCAGTCTTGCACAGGTGTACCAGCTCCTCCCCTCCAGTCTTGCACAGGTGTACCGGCTCCTCCCCTCCAGTCTTGCACAGGTATACCAGCACCTCCCCTTCAGTCTTGCACAGGTGTACCGGCTCCTCCCCTGCAGTCTTGCAGTTGTACCGGCTCCTCCCCTTCAGTCTTGCACAGGTGTACCTGCTCCTCCCCTTCAGTCTTGCACAGGTGTATCGGCTCCTCCACTTCAGTCTTGCACAGGTGTACCGACTCCTCCCCTTCAGTCTTGCACAGGTGTACCGGCTCCTCCCCTTCAGTCTTGCACAGGTGTACCGGCTCCTCCACTTCAGTCTTGCACAGGTGTACCGACTCCTCCCCTTCAGTCTTGCACAGGTGTACCGGCTCCTCCCCTTCAGTCTTGCACAGGTGTACCGGCTCCTCCCCTTCAGTCTTGCACAGGTGTATTGGCTCCTCCACTTCAGTCTTGCACAGGTGTACCGGCTCCTCCCCTTCAGTCTTGTACAGGTGTACCGACTCCTCCCCTTCAGTCTTGCACAGGTGTATCGGCTCCTCCCCTTCAGTGCACAGGTGTATCGTCCTCCCCTTCAGTCTTGCACAGGTGTACCGGCTCCTCCCCTCCAGTCTTGCACAGGTGTATCGGCTCCTCCCCTCCAGTCTTGCACAGGTGTATCGGCTCCTCCCCTTCAGTCTTGCACAGGTGTACCGGCTCCTCCCCTCCAGTCTTGCACAGGTGTACCGGCTCCTCCCCTTCAGTCTTGCACAGGTGTACCGGCTCCTCCCCTTCAGTCTTGTACAGGTGTACCGGCTCCTCCCCTTCAGTCTTGCACAGGTGTATCGGCTCCTCCCCTTCAGTCTTCCACAGGTGTACCGGCTCCTCCCCTCCAGTCTTGCACAAGTGTACCGGCTCCTCCCCTGGACTGAAGTGTCTTCCTCTGATGTCACCGCACACTGGGAGCTTCTCACAATGTGCATTAGAAGCTGCAGCACGTCAGACAGAGCTCCGCCTCATTTCTTGGCTGGAGGACGCCCAGCAACATCTAGCACCTTCCTCCCCAGCCTGACCGTCCCTGGCCCCACCCCTTTCAATCACGGGATTTTAGTTCCTTCAGTCATGGAGGTCAGGTGTTACCTAGGACCATCCCACTGCTTGCATCAGGACTGAGGGCTCTTGAGAGGAGTACTGTGGCAGGGACTGTGATGTTTTCAGGAAACTATGTAGAGCACCCTGCCAGTCCCTCCCACCAGCCATGATCTGCCTACACTGCATAGAGAAGCACAGAGACCCAGTGATGACATCACTGGAACTAAAATAAGATATGGGATGGGGGAGGGGAGCTTTAGCTTTAATGTTCCCCCAGCAGTGGGGGATCCGGGAGGAGATCTCTATAGAGTCTGCTTCCAGCAGTGGGGGACCCGGGAGGAGATCTCTATAGAGTCTGCTTCCAGCAGTGGGGGATTCGGGAGGAGATCTCTATGGAGTCTGCTTCCAGCAGTGGGGGATCCGGGAGGAGATCTCTATAGAGAGCCTGCTTCCAGCAGTGGGGGATCCGGGAGGAGATCTCTATAGAGCCTGCTTCCAGCAGTGGGGGATCCGGGAGGAGATCTCTATAGAGCGTGCTTCCAGCAGTGGAGGATCCGGGAGGAGATCTCTATAGAGCGTGCTTCCAGCAGTGGGGGATCCGGGAGGAGATCTCTATAGAGTCCGCTTCCAGCAGTGGGGGATCCGGGAGGAGATCTCTATAGAGTCCGCTTCCAGCAGTGGGGGATCCGGGAGGAGATCTCTATAGAGTCCGCTTCCAGCAGTGGGGGATCCGGGAGGAGATCTCTATAGAGTCCGCTTCCAGCAGTGGGGGATCCGGGAGGAGGTCTCTATAGAGCCTGCTTCCAGCAGTGGGGGATCCGGGAGGAGGTCTCTATAGAGCCTGCTTCCAGCAGTGGGGGATCCGGGAGGAGGTCTCTGTAGAGCCTGCTTCCAGCAGTGGGGGATCCGGGAGGAGATCTCTATAGAGCCTGCTTCCAGCAGTGGGGGATCCGGGAGGAGATCTCTATAGAGCCTGCTTCCAGCAGTGTGGGGGATCCGGAGCGTGCTTCCAGCGTGGGGGATCCGGGAGGGGGAGATCTCTATAGAGTCTGCTTCCAGCAGTGGGGGATCCGGGAGGAGATCTCTACAGAGTCTGCTTCCAGCAGTGGGGGATCCGGGAGGAGATCACTACAGAGTCTGCTTCCAGCAGTGGGGGATCCGGGAGGAGATCACTACAGAGTCTGCTTCCAGCAGTGGGGGATCCGGGAGGAGATCTCTATAGAGCGTGCTTCCAGCAGTGGGGAATCCGGGAGGAGATCTCTATAGAGTCTGCTTCCAGCAGCGGGGGATCCGGGAGGAGATCACTATAGAGCCTGCTTCCAGCAGTGGGGGATCCGGGAGGAGATCTCTATAGAGCGTGCTTCCAGCAGGGGGAATCCGGGAGGAGATCTCTATAGAGCGTGCTTCCAGCAGCAGGGGATCCGGGAGGAGATCTCTACAGAGTCTGCTTCCAGCAGTGGGGGATCCGGGAGGAGATCTCTATAGAGTCTGCTTCCAGCAGTGGGGGATCCGGGAGGAGATCTCTTCCTCGGGAATATTTCTATTCAGAGACGTAATGTCAGATTTATTTATTGCTCCTCCACCAGGGCCTATTTATACCGCCGTGACACCAGACATCCGGTCTGAGAGCACCGACACCAATAGTAGTGCAGACACCCCGGAGGGGGGGGGGGGGGGTCCAGGCAGAGGTGGGAGAGCCCTCTATATTCATCTATTACTTCTCAGATTTACATGACTCTGACATATACCACAGTGCTGTACAAAGAGCACTCAGGCATCAGTCTCTATACCAGAGGAGCTTACACTCTAATGTCCCCTCCCCCACAGTCACATCAGTCTCTGTACCAGAGGAGCTTACGCTCTAATGTCCCCTCCCCCACAGTAACATCAGTCTGTGTACCAGAGGAGCTTACACTCTAATGCCCCCTCCCCCCACAGTCACATCAGTCTCTGTACCAGAGGAGCTTACGCTCTAATGTCCCCTCCCCCACAGTAACATCAGTCTGTGTACCAGAGGAGCTTACACTCTAATGCCCCCTCCCCCACAGTCACATCAGTCTCTGTACCAGAGGAGCTTACGCTCTAATGTTCCCTCCCCCACAGTCACATCAGTCTCTGTACCAGAGGAGCTTACACTCTAATGTCCCCTCCCCCCACAGTCACATCAGTCTCTGTACCAGAGGAGCTGACACTCTAATGTTCCCTCCCCCACAGTCACATCAGTCTCTGTACCAGAGGAGCTGACACTCTAATGTTCCCTCCCCCACAGTAACATCAGTCTGTGTACCAGAAGAGCTTACACTCCAATGTCCCCTCCCCCACAGTCACATCAGTCTCTGTACCAGAGGAGCTGACACTCTAATGTCCCCTCCCCCACAGTCACATCAGTCTCTGTACCAGAGGAGCTTACGCTCTAATGTTCCCTCCCCCCAGTCACATCAGTCTCTGTACCAGAGGAGCTGACACTCTAATGTTCCCTCCCCCACAGTCACATCAGTCTCTGTACCAGAGGAGCTGACACTCTAATGTTCCCTCCCCCACAGTCACATCAGTCTCTGTACCAGAGGAGCTGACACTCTAATGCCCCCTCCCCCACAGTCACACACTATTATATAATTATATAGCTCTGACATATACCGCAGCGCTGTACAGAGAACATCCAGCCATCAGTCACTGCACCAAAGGAGCTTACACTCTGATGTCACACACTATTATTGTTATTATACATTTATTTAGCTCTGACATATACCAGAGTGCTGTACAAAGAACTCATCAGACAAAGAGTCATCAGTCTCTGTACCAGAGGAGCTGACACTCTAATGTCCCCTCCCCCACAGTCACACACTGTTATTATTATTATAATATCCTTTATATAGCTCTGACATATACCGCAGCGCTGTACAGAGAACACGGAGCCATCAGTCATTGCACCAAAGGAGCTTACACTCTGATGTCACACACTATTATTATTATTATACTTTTTTTTTTAGCTCTGACATATACCAGAGTGCTGTACAAAGAACCCTGAGCCATCAGTCACTACACCAGAGGAGCTTACACTCTAATGTCCCCTCCCCCACAGTCACATCAGTCTCTGTACCAGAGGAGCTTACACTCTAATGTCCCCCTCCCCCACATTCACATCAGTCTCTATACCCTTACACTCATGTCCCCTCCCCCACAGTCACATCAGTCTCTGTACCAGAGGAGCTTACACTCTAATGTCCCCTCCCCCACAGTCAAACCCTATTATACATGTATATAGATATATGCACCCAGTATGGGGTAATGGGGTGTTAGGTCCTGTGATGTATTCCATGGTCTGTCCTGGGGGGTGATCTGAATGAACAGTGATGGGGGGTGTCTGGCTTCGGGGGGGGGGTCACTTGCCATGATCTCCTGACATCACAGGCATGCATGTTTGGGGGGGGGGGGGGGTCACTTACCATGATCTCCTGATATTACAGACATGCATGTTTGGGGGGGGGGGGTCACTTACCATGATTTCCTGACATTACAGCCATGCATGTTTGGGGGGGGGGGGGGGGGTCACTCACCATGATCTCCTGACATTACAGACAATGCATGTTTGGGGGGTCACTTACCATGATCTCCTGACATTACAGACATGCATGTTTGGGGGGGGGGGGGGTCACTCACCATGATCTCCTGACATTACAGACATGCATGTTTGGGGGGGGGGGGGTCACTCACCATGATCTCCTGCCATTACAGACATGCATGTTTGGGGGGGGGGGGGGTCACTCACCATGATCTCCTGACATTACAGGCATGCATGTTTGGGGGGGGGGGGGGGGGTCACTCACCATGATCTCCTGACATTACAGACATGCATGTTTGGGGGGGGGGGGGGGGTCACTCACCATGATCTCCTGACATTACAGACATGCATGTTTGGGGGGGGGGGGGGGGGGTCACTCACCATGATCTCCTGACATTACAGACATGCATGTTTGGGGTGGGGGGGGGGGGGGGTCACTCACCATGATCTCCTGACATTACAGACATGCATGTTTGGGGGGGGGGGGGGGTCACTCTACCATGATTTCCTGACATTACAGACATGCATGTTTGGGGGGGGGGGGGGGTCACTCACCATGATCTCCTGACATTACAGACATGCATGTTTGGGGGGGGGGGTCACTCACCATGATCTCCTGCCATTACAGACATGCATGTTTGGGGGGGGGGGTCACTCACCATGATCTCCTGACATTACAGACATGCATGTTTGGGGGGGGGGGGTGTATTTTCTGGGAAAATCCCTCAGAATTTCCAGGAATTCAATTCTTTGCAGCCACCCGAAGTGATCCCTTTGTGTCTGGGTATTACAGGGGCCCCACACACCAGCAGACGAGTCACCCCCAATCTACTATTGGCTGTCCATGAATGAGACAGGAGACTGGGGGCCCCTGGAGGGCCAATGTGGCCCCTGAATATCACTTTGTATCCTGACCATCCACCATCTAACAACACATCCACAGGGAGGGTATTGGAGGGAGAACAGGAACGTCTCATTCCCTACAGTGCCTCCTGGCCTCTGATTGGACGCTGCGGGGACCCAAGACATGTGAGCGCCGATGTTACAGAAGTGCAGTCTGTGCTCAGCTCACAGCCCAATCCCATCATAGAACTATTTATATTCCATTCCCAGCCTCACAGACCGCCAGACCAGAACCGGCACTTCCTGACGGCCCCGCATCGGCACGTGTGACACCGGCCTGCACCCCAAATCCTCTGTACGGGGGTCTCCTCTATGCAGTATACAGGTGTATATACAGAGCAATCTCATATATACAGAACAGTCTCTTCTATACAGTACAGTCTCTTCTATACAGAGCAGAGTGCAGTCTCTTCTATACAGTACAGTCTCTTCTATACAGTACAGTCTCCTATATACAGAGCAGTCTCTTCTATACAGTGCAGTCTCATATATACAGAGCAGTCTCTTCTATACAGAGCAGTCTCTTCTATACAGTACAGT